ACACGTTCCACCTGGAAGTGGAACCAAAGAAAATAGCAGAGATTTCAGGGTAACATTATTTGCAAGCCTGAAGATAGACCACGATCTGGTAGACGCATCTTTTGTCCCAGATGGAAACAGACATTATAACCAGCCTCGTACAGAAAATGGGCAGCAGGAAAATTTGTTTGCGGACAGCCAATCCACAACCTGTCAAAATGTAGCCATTGTGAGAAGTAGTTTAATCGCCGGTCAGTGATACTTCTGCTCCCTGAACTATCCCTCTTATCCGCCCTCTCGCTCAGAAGCCGATCGGTAGACCGAGTTGCTGAAATTGAATAAGTGGGGGAGGAGGGAAGTGACCGAAGGTGAAATAAGGAAAGGGGGTGGGTGATCAAACTGCTGTAATTGTTTATTGTGTGGGGAAAAGTTATCAACATCAGGGTGCGTTGAAGTGTGGTTGTCCGGCTGTAGTGGACTGGAGACATTGCTTCCTGTATTGTTGTGTCATTTTTTCTTTTTTTCCTTTCTGTATTCTTTCCCTTTTCTTCTCGTTCTGGTCCTCTTATCACTTTCTTTTCTGTCTTTTTGTTCTTCTTTGTTTTTTTTTTTCCGTTGTCTGTCCTTTCTCGTTTTGTTCTTATTTTTCCGTCCTTTTCCCTTCCCTTTTTGTTTTTGTCGTTCTTCTAGATTTCTCCTTTTGTTTCTTTTCGTCGAGCGCTTTTTTATTCCGTTTCTTGGCGTCTTTTATTTTTCCTCCTGTTTTTTTTCTTTCTTTGTTGTTCGTGCTTTTTTTTCATTTTTCCCCTTTTTTTTTTTTGCTTCCCTCTTCTTTTTTGTCCTGTTTTTCTTTCTGCCTCTTCTTTCCTTTCTCCTTGCCTCTTTCTCTCCTTGTGTTCTTTTCCTTTTCTTCCTTTCTGTCTCTTCCTTTTCCTCCTCTTTTTTGCCTCTTTTTTTTCCTTTTTTTGTTCATTTGCCTACCTTTTTTTTTCTTTTGTTCTCTTACCCTTTCTCCCTTTTCTTTTTCCTCCTGTTTTTGTTTCTTCTTCTTCCGAGTTTCTATCCCCGTCTCTTATTTTCTTTTGTTGTTTTCCTGTCCATTACTTTTTCTCCTATTTGGTTTTCTCTCTTTCTTTTTTTTCTCCTTTCCTTTTCTTTTTCCTCTGTCTCTTCTCTTTATCCTCTTTTTTTCTTTTCTATTTTATCCTTCTATCTTCTCGGTCTTGCTATTCTTCATGTCGTTTTTCTTTCTTCGGATCTGTGGTCTTATTTATTTACTCTTTTCCTTCTCTTTTTGCCCTACTTTGATATTTATTTCTCTGACTGATGTACAAAAACTTGTCCACAGGCTTACTCTAACACTCTTCAAATTACCCGGTATAACTACTTCGTGGTGATCGGATTTCGCATGATCATTATTAGGTTTGGCATAATGTCCCACCTGACAGCAGCAGCTCCGTTACTGCCCAGAGCCTCAACTCCGGAATGCGGCAGTCATAGAGCCGTCACTCTGGTCTCCATCGCCTCCAAGTTGGTTGCTTCTGTCGCTCTCCACAGAATGGTTCGCAACAGAGAAAATCAGCAGCCTAAAGAAGAAGTTGGGCTTAGCGGAAATAGAAGTTGCATTGACCACATCTTCACTTGACGTCAGTTATCGGATCAAGTGTAATCGCGTTCCTCTATATCAAAAGCGCCTTCGAATAGGTGGATCGATGAGTTTTTGGGACTTTTTGATAGAAAATGTTTGTCCGAGAAATACATACACAAGGCTAGGGCATTGCACGCAGGCAGAGTGAGGACTTATCGCAAGCTGCCGCCGCCCTCCTCTGGCAGTGTAAAACAGGGGAGCGCACTGCCGCCTTTCCTTGTTAACTTCTCTATAGACAAAGTTGAAGAAACTGCGTTCAATAAGACGTGCGGAGCTGCTCTCAGGTGAATGCCTCTGGTTTCCAGCATGTGGACAATATACCCTTATCTGTGAGAGCCTACAAGCGTGTCAAGCAGTACTAGATACGTAGGCACAAGTTGTCATCCGTTTAGTGAGTCTCTTTTCACACCACAAAGGCAAAGCTCTGTTACAGGATTAGCAGTGACCGTCCCCTTCAGTAAATCATGTGAAACATCAGTCAGAAGTCGTTCAGAAATTAAGCTCTGGACAGCTGTATCAGCGCCTGTAAAAGAGAAGATGAGATCAAGTACTGTACACCCACAGCTAGAGGCATTTTCGACATTCATCGCCAATTGTGGCTCTGATGAGACATCAAATTAGCCCTGCAGAGTGGTGCCTAATTCAACCCGACTGTACGGTTGTGAAGCCTCGTCCATAAAATCGAAAAATGTGAAGAGCGCAGTTGCGTTCGACCACTAGTACCTCCGCAACTTAGCTCATATTAGGTGCAAACACTGCATAATCATTGAAAGCACTTAGCGTCTTGTTTAAGGAGCAGAAAGCAATAGTCCGCACATTGCGCCAAACACCTTCGGTGCATCAGTCATTGCAAGTATTGATAGCAGGAAAGTCAAACAAAATACCGATAAACCTATTAAACACAAGGATGGAGCTACGCTGTTGGGTTGAGGATCTGACAGCGAATACACTACACTGCCACTTGCAATCAAATTAGACCAGTTGAGAAACTGTGCGGAAAAAAATGCCAAAGCACGAGAAGCTAAACAAGGTAGCAAAGCACCAA